GAAGGAAGTTTTTCCATTAATTAGCACTTCTTTATTAAATATTATGAATATGTCTTTATTATCAGGCTATGTTCCACAATCATTCAAAGTAGCAGTGATAAAACCGCTTCTTCAAAAGCACAACCTTGGGGGGGACGTAGGAGCAGCGACATGTGAGGACGCAGTTTTCTGAGCTCTGCTTGGAAGGAACATTTAAAAAGTTATTTTCGCCTCTTTTCTCATTCCCGTGGGGCAAATGTGTCTCTAAAGTGCTCAGCTATCTAAAAGTGACCGTGTTTTGATTTGGTTGTACATAAAACTCTAAAAAAATGCAGAGGAGTCAAAGACCGAAACCAGGCCCAAACGCCGCGGACTCGCCTGAGGAAGACGAGGCCGGGTCGGCGGAGCCGCTGTCGGATACACAGGCAATCATGGCCGCCCTAAAGCGGACTGAGCAGTGTGTGCTAACTAAGATCGACTCAACAGTGACGGCGGCTGTAGGTGAATTGCACACCAAAATAGACAACCTGTCGAGGGACTTAAGATCAGAAATCTTCAATGTGCGCACAGAGTTTACTAAGGTTGTTGAAGATGTTAGGAAGGAGAACGTAACTTTCGTAACGCGTATTGAAGGCCTTGAGGAGGGGGCTAATTGCTATGCTAACCGGGTAGTGGAACTCGAGGCTAAAGTTACTACGCTGTCCTCACAAGTAAACAAGTTGGTGGACAAAACCGAAGATCTAGAGTCTCGACAACGGAGAGATAATTGTCGACTAGTCGGTGTGGCGGAAGGGACTGGGAATATTCGACCAGAGAAAGCCATAGCTCAACTACTGCAGGATGCTCTGAGCCTGGACTACACACCGACGCTTGACCGTGCACATAGGGGCTTGCAGCCGAAACCAGCTGATGGGGATGCCCCGAGGCCGATCATCATTAAATTCCACTACTTTCAGGAGAAAGCAGATATTATACGGAAAGCCATGGGAGCGGGGCCCATCTTCCACAACGGCAAGCGTTTCTACATCTACCCGGACTACACGCTCTCGGTGAGGAAAAGGAGGGCAGCATTTACTGAGGTCCGGGGGCTGCTGCGCAGATGCCCTGGTGTGAAGTATGGACTTGTGTATCCAGCCACACTTAAAATCACAACCTCAGCTGGAGAGCAAAAGTCATTTGAAGACCCAACCAAGGCAAAGCACTACATTGAGACAGATTTGCACCCGCGGGACCCGGAGGGAGAGTGATAATCAATATTGGGGCCATGACAGGTACTGTTGGAGCTGCAGGATAATGTCACAGCCTGTGTCACAATGACTACATTTTTGACTGTTAATTACACTACAGTTGGTTGCACTTTATGTGTGGACTATGGACAATGAGTCAGGGAAATTACAACAATGCAGATTTTCTCAAGTTATAGCTGTTTATATCTCCCAACTGTAGGTGTTTAAGGCTGTTTTAAGTTATGACCACATAAGTGCAGCAATGTCGGTGCTATGAGAAGGGCCATGTTTCATTTAAATTCATATTGTTCTGACCTTGCACAGTTCAGTCGAGTGTTTAGGTTAGTCTTGACGTGTTATATGCCTAAGAGTAGGACGAGTGTTTGTAGGGCAGTCTCAGGCTTTAAGAAGACCAACCCGGGGATCCAGGATGGTAAGAGTTTATTTTTTGTTACTTTCTTAACTTTTGTCTGTTTTATGGTACTTTTTTGTTTTTCTATTGTTTCATGCCTTAACCCAAGATTGCACATATGTGTTCAGATTTTGCCAACTTTCAAGTCCAGACCATGTATCCAGTGGCAGAGTTATGGCTCCTGATGCTGTAGATAAACAACAAGGTGCACTCTCTTTCATCAGCTGGAATGTCAAAGGCCTAAATAATATGGTTAAACAGAGTAAAATATTTGCCCATTTAAAATCATTGAAGCCTGATGTGATGTTTTTGCAGGAAACACATCTGAATATTAACTCCCAAAAGAGACTAAGATGCAGTTGGATTGGACAAGTGTATCACTCGCGTTTTGATTACAAAACCAGGGGCACAGCAATTTTAATTAGAAAGGGGATACCTTTTGAACTCCCTGAAATAGTATCTGATCCCAATGGTAGATATATTGTTGCAGTTAGCAGGTTGTTTAATACTCCTTTAATATTGGCTAACATCTATGGACCGAATTGGGATGACTCAAAGTTTTTCATAAACTTCTTCTCAGCCCTCCCTGACCTCAATACCTATAAATTGGTATTGGGTGGTGATTTTAACTGCGTTCTCCATGCCCGCCTTGACAGATCCAACCCTAGACCTGATAGTACCCTGTCAACATCTGCGATAGCTATAAACTCCTTCATGGGCAAAACATCCTAATACTAAACAATTTTCGTTTTTCTCCCCTGTCCACCATAGCTATTCCAGGATTGATTATTTCATTGTAGATGACCAATTACTTCCCTTAATCCCCAGGAGCCAGTACCACAGCATTGTGTTATCAGCATTGTCCAGCATTGTGTTATCAGCATTTGTCCAGTACAAATGGATATGATGTTTCCTGGTAATATAGCACCCCAACGCACCTGGCGTCTAGACCCCCATTTGCTTTCATATGAACACTTTAAAACTTACCTCAGTGGCCAGATTGACTTTTTTCTAGAAATTAATGACACCAGGGATATTTCGAGGAGTGTTCTATGGGAATCCCTAAAAGCTTACATCAGGGGACAGGCTATTTCATACACTGCACATAAAAATAAAGAGCGATCTAAGAAACTTAAAGAACTGACACACAGCATTGCAGATGTTGATAGACGGTATGCTCTCTTGCCCACGGCAGATCTTTTTAAAGAAAAAATACTGCTTCAATCTGAATTTAACACACTTTCGACGTGGAGAGCTGAAAAACATATTTTAAAAACTAAACAGGTTTACTATGAACATGGGGACAGAGCAGGGAGACTCCTCGCACTTCAGCTCAAGCAGCAGGCGGCTGGACAAACGATCCCAAGGATCAATACAGGTGCCGATTCGACTTCGCATAATCCCCAAATAATTAATGACCAGTTTAAGCAATACTATTCTACTTTATATCAATCAGAGGTAGATGTTAACTCGTCTGAAATTCAGTCGTTTCTGGATTCCTTACATATTCCAAAACTCTCACCAGACTCCCAGTGCTCCTTAGAGCAGCCATTAACGGTTGGAGAAATAGAAGGCGCAATCAGACTGTCTAGTACAGGGAAGGCACCAGGTCCGGATGGGTTTCCCATCGAGTTTTATAAGGAATATTCCTCAAAACTTGTGCCGGTTTTAAAATCGGTTTATGAAGAATCACTGGTTAATGGTAAATTGCCACCAACACTCTCTCAAGCAACAATTTCAGTGATATTGAAAAAAGACAAGGATCCCTCACAGTGTAGTTCCTATAGACCAATCAGCCTTCTTTGCTGTGATTATAAAATATTAACTAAAGTCCTTGGTCCTCTGGGCGTGTACGCGCCTCATGATGAGAGACCGAGTGGAATGCAGCGTGTGGAAACTCCCTCGCAGCTTTTTTGCTTCACGGGCAGCAGCGGCGAGGGCGTGGCACGTCACCATGACGACCATTACGGCACATCACAGAGAAGCCTCTCCCCCCAGCAGTTCCATGGGATGCAAGAAACACTCCCGTTATCCCAGGAACAGTGTTATTTCCGGCGAATTTAACCGAGGGGCTCGCAGAACGCAGCAGCCGTGCTATGCGAGGAGTATGGAGACTTAGACCGGTGTCACGCACACTGGCGCCTCAGTGGGATTTGGCTTTGGTGTTACGCGCACTAAAGAAAAACCCCATTTGAACCTGATCAGGTTCCCCTTAACTGTATTCAGCCAAAGTAGTACTACTTTTGGCTCTATCAGAGGAAAGGGTGATCTGTCTGCTCTCCCGGTGGCTCCGTCATGTCTCCGGATCCATGGAGATGCAGTTCAGCTGTTTTACGCCCTAACCCGGCTTCATGCCTATAAGGTCATCACAACTCTTTTAGGAATTTCCTCCTCCTCGGTGTTGCGCGGAGGAATGTCAGTGGAAGATATTTGCACGGCTGCATCTTGGTCTTCCCCCTGTTCATTTATTCAATTGTATTTGAGGGATGTCTCCCTTTCCTCTCTGACACGCCCTGTACTGGGTGTCCTGTCAGAGTGAGTGACGTCAGGGATCCAGCTGTGCGCCTCTCTCCTGCCTCGCGGCACACAGAGAGCGGCCCTTTTTCCCCTCGTAGGAGAGGGACGTTCCCCTTCCTCTGACACACTTCGTAGGGAGTGCCTGGTCAGAGTGAGTGACGTCAGGGATCCAGCTGAGAGCTCTCCTACCTGGCTGACACGGAGAGAACGGCTGTTCCCCCTCTATGATCGCAGGACAAGGTGGGACCTTCGTCTCTACTTTCTCACAGCAGTCGGTATGTATTGTTCCCAGCCTTCACCCCGTCAGGAAAACAGGTATGTTTTCTCCAGGGACGGGGATGTGCCATTACGCATGGCACAACAGGCAGGGGGGTGTTATTAAGCAGGTATGTCTGTGCTTCTAGTGCTGGACGGACCCAGTGGGGCGCAGACTACATCATGCTTCGCCCTTAACCCAATAGCGATAGCCTTAGAGGGCGAAGCCATATACGAAATAGAACTGAGGTTACCTAACTGTAACCCAGCTTCTATGAGTAATGGCGCAGCCCTCTAAGCGCTGGGCCCCACTGGCTCTACGAATAGCTGAAGAAAAGTTATATTGTATGGGAGCAGATCGCCGGGCAACCTCCCTATTTATACCGGAAGGAGGCCCGAGGGTGGGGCCCACCTAGCGGGTGGGCGTGGACTACAAGTGTTTTCAGTACTGGCCGGGGCGCAGAAGGGTAAACCCAATAGCGATAGCCTTAGGTAACCTCAGTTTTTGGTTGTTGTTCAATAAGAAAATACCAATAAACATATTGTGAAAAAGACGAGGTGTTTATATATGAGGAGTGTGTTCAGGACCAGGCCTGGTCAGGTCTCAGTACCTGCTGGATCTGCTGCTGCAGCTGCAGTTTCTGGGTGTGGTCCAGGTGGAGGGGGGGGCAGACGCCTCTCTGCAGGACTATGATAGAGGTGGTGGGCTGTGGGCTGGGCTGTGGGCTGGGCGGGCCCTTCAGGTCCCGGTGCTGGTTGGTGGAGTCCTGCAGGGCCCTCCTCTGCTGCAGGGCCTCATACTGCTTCCTGACGGTCCTGCGCCGCTCCGTCAGCATGCTGGCTAACGGGGCCTCGAACCTGCAACAGAGAGGAAAACCACTTCCTGTGAAGCTGCGTGAAGAGGAGATCCACATCACTCTGCATCATCATCATCATCATCATCATCATCATCATCTCCAGCAGGAAGAACAACATGAGCACATCTGACTGTGCTTCTGTGGTAGCAGAATGCTTTAGTGCTCTCTGGATGGAGATCTGATGGATCAACATGTTTCCCCTCAGCTGGAGTGCTCTCCATGAGCTCAGTGGAGAGACTCCAGCAGGGGAGCTTTCTCTCCCTCCTCACCCAAACAGTAACAGCACTTCTCTGCTGCACCGCCCCGAGAGGAGGGCCTGCAGACCCTGGGGTCGCGTACATGTGTCTGAGTGATGTACATGTGTCTGTGTGATGTACATGTGTCTGTGTGATGTACATGTGTCTGTGTACATGTGTCTGTGTGATGTACATGTGTCTGTGTGATGTACATGTGTCTGTGTGACGTACATGTGTCTGTGTGATGTACATGTGTCTGTGTGATGTACATTTGTTTATATAATGTAGAGGTGTGAGGACTGAAGGTGTTACCGTAGAGCTGCAGGGACGTTGAACTTGGCTCCAGTCTGTGACGGTTCCTCCTCTTCCTGCTCCTCAGCGGCCACTTCCTCCTGAAGCTGTGGAGAGAAACAGACGGACCTCAGAACCAGACACTCAGAACCAGATGGGTCTGATGTCCTTGACCTCAGAACCAGACAGGTCCGTTCTCCCTGAACTCAGAACCAGACAGGTCCGTTCTCCCTGAACTGAGAACCAGACGGGTCCGTTCTCCCTGAACTGAGAACCAGACGGGTCCGTTCTCCCTGAACTGAGAACCAGACGGGTCCGTTCTCCCTGAACTCAGAACCAGACGGGTCCGTTCTCCCTGAACTGAGAACCAGACGGGTCCGTTCTCCCTGAACTGAGAACCAGACGGGTCCGTTCTCCCTGAACTCAGAACCAGACGGTCAGTTCCCCCCTAACTCAGAACCAGACGGTCAGTTCCCCCCCTAACTCAGAACCAGACGGGTCCGTTCTCCCTGAACTGAGAACCAGACGGGTCCGTTCTCCCTGAACTGAGAACCAGACGGGTCCGTTCTCCCTGAACTCAGAACCAGACGGGTCCGTTCTCCCTGAACTCAGAACCAGACGGGTCCGTTCTCCCTGAACTCAGAACCAGACGGGTCCGTTCTCCCTGAACTCAGAACCAGACGGGTCCTTTCTCCCTGAACTCAGAACCAGATGGTCAGTTCCCCCCTAACTCAGAACCAGACGGTCAGTTCCCCCCTAACTCAGAACCAGACGATCACTTCCCCCCTAACTCAGAACCAGACGGTCAGTTCCCCCCTAACTCAGAACCAGACGGTCAGTTCTCCCTGAACTCAGAACCAGACGGGTCCATTCTCCCTGAACGCAAAACCAGACGGTCAGTTCTTCCTGAACTCAGAACCAGACGGTCAGTTCTCCCTGAACTGAACTCAGAACCAGACGGTCAGTTCTCCCTGAACTCAGAACCAGACGGGTCCATTCTGCCTGAACGCAAAACCAGACGGTCAGTTCTCCCTGAACGCAAAACCAGACGGTCAGTTCTTCCTGAACTCAGAACCAGACGGTCAGTTCTCCCTGAACTGAACTCAGAACCAGACGGTCAGTTCTCCCTGAACTCAGAACCAGACGGTCAATTCTCCCTGAACTCAGAACCAGACGGTCAGTTCTCCCTGAACTCAGAAACAGACGGTCAGTTCTCCCTGAACTCAGAACCAGACGGGTCTGATGTCCCTGAACTGAGAACCAGACGGTCAGTTCTCCCTGAACTCAGAACCAGACGGGTCCGTTCTCCCTGAACTCAGAACCAGACGGGTCTGATGTCCCTGAACTCACCGTATCAAAGAGTTCCTCCAGCAGCTCATTCACCTCCTTTTCTGTAAGAGGAGAAGATGGGTTAACTCTGAGGGTGAGGCAGGGATAACATGTAGTCCAGACCCGGACCTAAACCCAAACCCGGTCCACAACACCTACTGGTGATCTGCACGGCCCGGTCCGTCCTGTAGTCCTCCAGGTCCGGTTCGTCCAGGTCCTCCAGGACGTTGTACTCTGGGTCGTCGTCATCGTCAGCTTCCTCTGAGAAACGAACACACTCAGTCAGCTAAGGTCTATACATCTAGAACATCAGGAACATCTGGAACATCAGGAACATCTAGAACATCGGGAACATCTAGAACATCGGGAACATCGGGAACATCTAGAACATCGGGAACATCTAGAACATCAGGAACATCAAGAACATCGGGAACATCGGGAACATCTAGAACATCGGGAACATCGGGAACATCTAGAACATCGGGAACATCGGGAACATCTAGAACATCGGGAACATCTAGAACATCAGGAACATCTAGAACATCTGGAACATCTAGAACATCAGGAACATCAAGAACATCGGGAACATCTAGAACATCGGGAACATCGGGAACATCAGGAACATCTAGAACATCGGGAACATCAGGAACATCTAGAACATCGGGAACATCTAGAACATCAGGAACATCAGGAACATCTAGAACATCGGGAACATCTAGAACATCGGGAACATCTAGAACATCGGGAACATCGGGAACATCGGGAACATCTAGAACATCTGGAACATCGGGAACATCGGGAACATCGGGAACATCTAGAACATCAGGAACATCTAGAACATCTGGAACATCTAGAACATCAGGAACATCGGGTCATCGTCTCTGACTTCCAGAATCACTCATGTCTTTAGGGCGATAGTGACTCCTCGCTGCACGGCCATATACTAAACAAACCAACGACTTGACTTATTATTTTACTGGCTTCTAAATGATCGTATTGCTTCCACTAAGAAAAAAAGACCCACTGCGTACCTTCTGCTGAACTGAGACAACAAAAACGTAAGTTAAAAACAACGGCAGCACTGAACAAGGTTTTCTGTAAATGCTTAGTAGCGGTGTGTTGTCGAGTATTAAAGGTCTCATATTATGCAAAATTCTCTTTGTGATGTCTTCTCCACATCACCGTGTGTCACCATGTGTCCTCGGTGTGTCTGGAGACTCACTAAGTGATGTCTTCTCTACATCACCATGTGTCCTCGGTGTGTCTGGAGACTCACTAAGTGATGTCTTCTCTACATCACCATGTGTCCTCGGTGTGTCTGGAGACTCACTAAGTGATGTCTTCTCTACATCACCATGTGTCCCCGGTGTGTCAGGAGACTCACAAAGTGATGTCTTCTCTACATCACCATGTGTCCTCGGTGTGTCTGGAGACTCACTAAGTGATGTCTTCTCTACATCACCATGTGTCCTCGGTGTGTCTGGAGACTCACTAAGTGATGTCTTCTCTACATCACCATGTGTCCTCGGTGTGTCTGGAGACTCACTAAGTGATGTCTTCTCTACATCACCATGTGTCCCCGGTGTGTCAGGAGACTCTCAAAGTGATGTCTTCTCTACATCACCATGTGTCCTCGGTGTGTCTGGAGACTCACTAAGTGATGTCTTCTCTACATCACCATGTGTCCTCGGTGTGTCTGGAGACTCACTAAGTGATGTCTTCTCTACATCACCATGTGTCCCCTTTAACAACCTCTGAAATGCCCCATCAGAATGGAGTATTGTGAGTGTGCAGACTCCCCTGGAAAATGGCGTCGGCAGGTGAGGCAGGTGTATTCACGGCTCTCTTAATATATGTATTACTTTCGAATTTCTTAAGACCTGTTGACATCAACCTGCTACAAAACATATGCAAACAATGCTGATCTGCTGCACCAGCAAACTAACCAAAATCATGGAAACGTTGGACATGGGAAGCACACTCTAGCAGTGTCTCTCATTCTCCCGTCTCAGTACAAGCACACTCTAGCAGTGTCTCTCATTCTCCCGTCTCAGTACAAGCACACTAGCAGTGTCTCTCATTCTCCCGTCTCAGTACAAGCACACTCTAGCAGTGTCTCTCATTCTCCCGTCTCAGTACAAGCACACTCTAGCAGTGTCTCTCATTCTCCCGTCTCAGTACAAGCACACTCTAGCAGTGTCTCTCATTCTCCCGTCTCAGTACAAGCACACTAGCAGTGTCTCTCATTCTCCCGTCTCAGTACAAGCACACTCTAGCAGTGTCTCTCATTCTCCCGTCTCAGTACAAGCACACTCTAGCAGTGTCTCTCATTCTCCCGTCTCAGTACAAGCACACTCTAGCAGTGTCTCTCATTCTCCCGTCTCAGTACAAGCACACTCTAGCAGTGTCTCTCATTCTCCCGTCTCAGTACAAGCACACTCTAGCAGTGTCTCTCATTCTCCCGTCTCAGTACAAGCACACTATCAGTGTCTCTCACTCTCCCGTCTCAATACAAGCACACTAGCAGTGTCTCTCATTCTCCCGTCTCAGTACAAGCACACTCTAGCAGTGTCTCTCATTCTCCCGTCTCAGTACAAGCACACTCTAGCAGTGTCTCTCATTCTCCCGTCTCAGTACAAGCACACTCTAGCAGTGTCTCTCATTCTCCCGTCTCAGTACAAGCACCCTCTAGCAGTGTCTCTCATTCTCCCGTCTCAGTAACAAGCACACCTCTAGCAGTGTCTCTCATTCTCCCGTCTCAGTACAAGCACACTCTAGCAGTGTCTCTCATTCTCCCGTCTCAGTACAAGCACACTCTAGCGTGTCTCTCATTCTCCCGTCTCAGTACAGCACACTCTAGCAGTGTCTCTCATTCTCCCGTCTCAGTACAAGCCACACTCTAGCAGTGTCTCTCATTCTCTCCTCTCTCCCCGTCTCAGTACAAGCACACTCTAGCAGTGTCTCTCATTCTCCCGTCTCAGTACAAGCACACTCTAGCAAGTGTCTCTCATTCTCCCGTCTCAGTACCAGCACACTCTAGCAGTGTCCTCTGATTCTCCCGTCTCAGTACAAGCACACTCTAGCAGTGTCTCTGATTCTCCCGTCTCAGTACAAGCACACTCTAGCAGTGTCTCTCATTCTCCCGTCTCAGTAACAAGCACACTCTAGCAGTGTCTCTCATTCTCCCGTCTCAGTACAAGCACACTCTAGCAGTGTCTCTCATTCTCCCGTCTCAGTACAAGCACACTCTAGCAGTGTCTCTCATTCTCCCGTCTCAGTACAAGCACACTCTAGCAGTGTCTCTCATTCTCCCGTCTCAGTACAAGCACACTCTAGCAGTGTCTCTCATTCTCCCGTCTCAGTACAAGCACACTCTAGCAGTGTCTCTCATTCTCCCGTCTCAGTACAAGCACACTCTAGCAGTGTCTCTCATTCTCCCGTCTCAGTACAAGCACACTCTAGCAGTGTCTCTCATTCTCCCGTCTCAGTACAAGCACACTCTAGCAGTGTCTCTCATTCTCCCGTCTCAGTACAAGCACACTCTAGCAGTGTCTCTCATTCTCCCGTCTCAGTACAAACGACTGGAAAGAAATACAAAGCCACCAACTTGACTTCAACAAAGCAACGCACTGATCATCCGTGTCCTGGTCCAAACCACGCTGAAGCCAACATCACCGCGGACGGCACACTCAATACAACTTTCCTACGGAGTGACGTTTGGCTTACCCCGGGTGTCGGGAGAGCAGCGGAGGTCGAGGCGGCTGGCTGTGGGCTGAGCGGAGCGGCGCTGTTCGGGGTTGACCGACAACGATGGACCACCATGAGGGGCGAGGGGGACGCTGCTGTACCACCGCATGACACTCAATACAACACTTTCTCTGGCTGTAATAATCCACGTGCATTTGGAAACATTAACACTCCAAATGTAAACAGGAAGCAGGTAAACCCGGCAATCAGAAAGAACCGGAACCGGAATTTCTTTCAGACCGTCAATAACTCAAGAACAGTCTGGGATCCCAAAGCTAAGGCATCGGGCCTTTTAGGGGGACATCTGAACATAAGAAGCATCAAATCTAAAAGTGAGCAAGTCCATCATCTTTTAATGGACTCCAATTTAGACTTTTTGTGTTTATCCGAGACCTGGCTTCATGAGTCCGCCCCCACAGCATGAGTCCGCCCCCACAGCATGAGTCCGCCCCCACAGCATGAGTCCGCCCCCACAGCAGCCTTTCACGTCCTGGGTTTTAACTTTAGTCGCCAGGAAACTAACCAATAAGCGTTTTAGCCCTTCCGTCAGGAAATATGAATCTTGTGGAATCCCCAAAAACATACGAGACCTTTACAAATGCTGTTGAACAGATTAAATGGGAAGATATTTTGCCTGGAATAGACCATGAAGAAGACAGTAAAATGTTCTCAAAAACGTTAGAGAGGACTATTAACAACTTCAACTGCAAAATCAAGCATAGAAATAACAAACACACTGTCCCTTGGATAAATGAGGATATTTTCAGACGAATGAAAGAACGTGATCTAGTCTTCAAAACTGCAATCAAAACGAAAGGAAGCCATGACAGAAGTCATTTTACTATGCTTAGGAATAACTTTTTAAAGAAATGAAGGAAAGCTAAGG